ATAAGGGGTTTTCTAGGGGACTACTATAGGGCTTATACTATTAAAAGGGATACTAGGAGTTTAGACTATGGCTCATATGTAGATCTTAATAAGCAGGGCCTCGAGATGATCGCTACGAAGTCGCATGCAGCTGATAAGGACCTAGACCCTACCATAGCCCTGGGGGAGCTGTACATGAGCTATAGTCTAAACTCCTTAAAGGGGGTTATATGGGGAATTATATAGAGGAGTACTGTAGGGGTTATTAAGGGGGATTCTAGGAGTTTAGGCTATAGCTCACATGTGGGTCATCTTCGCCAGGTCCAAGGTCAAAATCGCTAATCCAGTAGTTCTCACTCCTGCATCCTGGCAGGCAACTCCTCCGTGGTGTCGGGTAGCGAGCTGGGACTTCAGACGACCTCCCTGACCTCTCAGGGCGGATTTGGAAGATGTGGTTTTGATGCGTCAGGCCACACAAAAACTGTGACTTACACAGATTACACATCCATCGTTTATGAGCTTCATATGAGCCTCAGCTTGAGATGTTTGTTCCTTCAGTGGCCTGGGATTTAAAGAAGCCGAGCAAAGCTGCAATCTCGGCACAACCTCCAGACAATACATGAGTATATTGCAAGTCGTGTCTTGGCTTTAGCAGCTAGCTTGTGCCTGATTCTTGTGTTATATCGCCAGTAGTTGAGACCACTTCTTCATCAGTTTGCTTCGTCAGAAGCTAGTACGCGGCAAGCATGAGCCCAAGACCACAAAGCAATCTCACAAGAGACCTCCTGGCCAGTGTCGGACTCCAAGTAGCAGGGAGTCAGAATCTCTAAATGGCCGTCCCCGACAAAGCTTTGAGAGCACTCGGGTGCGCAAGCCACTTCCCCCCCAGAGTTCTTAAAAGCACAGAGTCCGCTGTTTCCCAGGTAGAAACAGGGGGGTTCGGTTTTTGAGCATGACACCAGCATAATCCTCAATGGGAACAAGCTGCGATGTAATCCCCATATACCCCTAGGCTAGCAGAAGCTCAAACCCTGAACCCTAATCCCTGAACCCAAATCTCTGAACTCAATCCTTAATCTCTAAAGCCTAAACCCTGAACCCCTAACCCCCTAAACCCTAAACCTTCATCTCTAAAGCCTAAAACCGAAACCCTTCGTCTCCCAGTATTGCCCCTTTTTCCCTACGCGCCTAGGTTGGACCTCTTTGGGGTTGCCCGGACCGCTGCCGACCAGGTAGGTCCTTCTGCATGTTCATTGCTTGGGCCAAACGGGTTTAGGGTTTAGGGTCAGGGTTTTGGGTTCAGGGTTTAAATTTAGGGGGCAGGGTTCAGGGCTAACAGGGATACTTGGATGAGATGTAGGGATATATGGGGAGCCTGAAACATGATTCTCTTGGGAGTCCGTATACTGAGAACTGTCGTAGTCTTGGCAAGGAGCCTCATGGCGCATAGGTTCTCTGCACTTAAGCCAACCAGCACCAAGAGTATAACCATTGCAGCAATGCCAGTAGTGCTGTCCATTGAAGCCGTCTCAGGAAGACGTGAAATAATTGCTCTTAGAACAACCTCTGTCAGCCTCGCCCTTCAAAACTGTTGAGCCCTTAACAGCCACTCCACCTCAAACCGTCTAAAACAAGCATGGGCCGTATCTCTTGGAGGTCTCCCGGTCTGGTGTGGGGTCCGCTTCAGTTGCAGGACTGCAAGCTCCGGAGTTCTTTGAAGCATGAAATAATCCAGGGGTCTCAACGTATTGTTGATGGACCAAATCCTGCACTTGCCAAAGGCAAAGTTAAAGTTTTACTATGAGTCCTGAGGCTTTGGATACTGAAAATCCTGCAGGGGTGTTGTCCATCAGCAGTAGCCTCAGCATCAAGAATAGTAGCATCCTACAGCCTGGTCGGCCAAAACTGCATTTAACAGTAGTCATAAGAAGATGCCGATGGTATTGGTTGTAGTGGTATGAAGGGTGGGGGAACCAACGCTTCCCTATTTACCCCAGTAGTACCCTTTTGCCCTTTGTATTTTGGGGTCTCCTTGTTAAAATTGAATAGTAGGAAAAGGGTACCCTTATCATTAATGGGTTACTGGGGAACCTAGTTCCAAAGGCAAGTTACAGGACACATACGCGACAAAGAGGAGGCCTACGCCTCGGATGGATGGGTAATTTCCTCAAATAGCCCAATGTAGACCCCAAAATGCTACAGTCCTTACTATGGCGACCCCCAAGAATGGTACCCCTAATTCTGGGAAACCCCATTTGAATTTTGGCTTTGCTTCGTTGAATGGGATTTTCAGGGTTCAGGTCCGAGCTCCGGAAAGAAAGGTATATATATATATTACATGTGATATATGTATATATATATATATAGTCATATATCTATACATAAATCGCCCGTTTGGGGTCATATTCACAGGGACGCCGCAAAGAACATGGATAATGAAATGGAAACTGGGATGATACTTCCCCCCCCATCGTTTGTGAAAAGAAGTGTTAATTTCGGCGATATATAATCCCAATCGCCAACTGAAATTAAGACTCTACCAGGGTCCAGGGAACTTGGATTTCCGGACTGAAGGTGTAGGGTTTAGGGCTTGGGGTGTCGGGCTGCCCTGGTTCTGGATTTGCGGAGGTGACCTCTTGGGCCCTAGGGCTAAAAGGAGTCCAGCATGTGCCTGAGAAGGTACCCAGACCCCTGGGAGGATCTAAAAATTAGATCCCCCAAAATAAAGCCATAATAAGCCCTATATAATCCCTATATAATTCCCCATAGTCTTCTAGGGGATCTAATTTTTAGATCCCTTTGGGGGTCTGGGTAGAGACATCCATGAGTTTTGTCGACTGTGCCCCAAATCGATAGGGCTTCAAATCCCGGACCCAAAATGCAGACCCATATTGTTCAGCAAATGGAGAAACAGGATAGCGGCACTCCAACAGTTTCCCCATAGTACTACATTCCTAATTTTGAGGACCCCTCATTTTCAGAACCCCTCCCCTAATTTAGGGGATCTTCAGCCGCAGGAAGTGGTGTGGCAGATATCTTCGCACATGTGGAGGTGGCAGAGTGTCTCCAGCTACGGACATTGATATTCTGGGTTGCCGTTAACGAACTTAAGTTAAGTTACCATGATGGGTATAGCTTAATATGGTTTCCCCAACATATTAACTTGAATTAAGTTCCTTAACAGCAACCCAGTGCTGGTCTTAGTAGGGTTAGGGATTCAGAGATGCGGCTTGAAGATTTGGGCTTGAGGGTTAGCGGGGGTTACACCTTGGCGTTCAGAGTTTAGACTGAATTAAGGCTTTAGGGTTTGGTGTCCCTGACCTGCCCATATACTTTCCTTTGTTCTCTATAAACCAGTCCAGACCAAAGACATAGCTTCAGACTCCTAAACCCTAGGCTGTACAGGTTTCCTCCCTCTTCTATTTATCACCTCCGCATACTCCTTGAGAAGGGCTCCTACAATCCTATCCTGTCGTAACTCCACGAGAGCCCCAGGCTCCGCAAAACCACGCCCTTTTTGAAACTCCAAGCACTTGATTAAGCCTAAACTTCTAAGCCCGAAGCTCCAAAACCTAAATTGGAAGCCGCGTAAAGCCTAAAATCCCAAGTCCCAGTCCTCTCGGTCCGGGGCGGACTCGGACATCTTCGCTGTGGCAAAGAAGACCGCAGCCCAGGCTTGACAATTTTCTTCCAGTTCGGGATTATATCAGGTTATAGTTTATATGGGTGGTTGTCAAAACTATGGTCCCTTTTTGGATCCCTATTATAATACGGCCCCTAATATTTAGGGTACCCAAAAAAGGACCATAATTTTGACAACCAGCCATATAGGTTATATGGAGAATATATTACCACAAATGACGGAGAATCAAATGAAAAAGAACATGGAAAATACAATGGAAGCCAATATTCAGGGTTTCCCGCGTCTAGGATTCCGGGGTTCCTCTTAGGGATTATATTGGGGAAATATTGGGGTTATGTTAGGGTAATATTGGGGTTATGTTAGGGTAATATTGGGTTATGTTAGGGGTATATTGGGGTTATATTAGGGTTACGTTGGGGTTATATTAGGGTTATGTTCGGGTTATGTTGGGGTTATATTAGGGTTACGTTGGGGTTATATTGGGGCTATATAGTGGTTTTGAGGAACGCCAGTATCAGGTAGGTAGTGCTGGGCGTTGTCGGGGTAGCATGCGGTTTCGCCGATTTGGCATCATCGTCAGCTTTGAAACCTGCAATGATACCGGACAGCATTCCATATGTTGATGTTAGTAGGCGGCACATTTGTAGAGCTGTTCAAGGGAAAAAGTCCTTTAAGTTTCAGGATTGTCAAGAGCAGGCGACAGAAAACGCTTACGGTTATGCCGCACTGAACGGGTTGGTCTATGCCACATAGGTTGTCGTTCGGGATCAGGCAGCTGCAGGTCGCGGGCTGGGCTTTTGCGGTTCAGTGATGAGGGGTCCAGGCCGTAAGCACAATTATGAAGTTGATTGATGCTTGCTTTGTTATAGGCCGCTTGTTGGGCTGCATGGCCCATCCTTTAAGCACTCGCAACAAAGACCTGCAGATCGTGGGGTCGAGGGTATGGGCCTCCCATTGTTCTTGTTTCAAAGGGCGTAAGAAGCGTATGCAGCACACCGAGATAGAATGTAGACCTAAACCACTATTCTAGTGAGAAAGTGCAGGCCCTGTGGAAAACAACCTCAACTCTAAATGAGCTCGCTCCACAGTGAAAGTCGCATTCGTGACAAGGTACGCAGTTACGACAGTGTGTGCTAGATATATCCGTTAGAGGCAAAACCACCGAAGGTGTTTTGCACCATGCTAGGCATGATCACCATGCTAGGCATGATTACTTTCATGGTATTTGCATGATATTTTCATGCTGGTTTATTGCTACAGGTTTTGTATCCGGAGAATGGCATGACTGTCCGATGCCATTTTGGATACAAGACCCCCCTAAAGGGGGGGCAAATTTTGAGTGCTGGGGAAGGGGTCCGCGGGAGTATCCCGCGCTGCCATGGATAGCGGTTTACAGCTGGATAAGTGCAAACGCTATCTGGAAAGTCTGGGCTTTGGCCCCCGAGAACTGGCTACTCTGGATATAGACGATAGCGCGGCTATCGCCAAGCAGCTGGCCTTCGAGTTGAATATTACTTCTTCCACGGAGCTGGAAGATGCTATTGTGGAATGGATCCAGGACTCGAGAGGTCCCGCGAAGATGGCTATACGCCTGGAAGGCGTACTGGCCAGTGATATCGAATGGGAAAGGCTAGCTGTCCGGCGGCGCTTCGGGCCAGCGACGGTCCCGGAGAAACCTCCGCCGCCAGGAGATAGAATCCGCAAGCTAGAGCTTTCGGGTTGGGGATTGCTAGCTCGCGAGGAGAGGCTGCTAGTTTTCTGGACAAAGCAGCTACGAAGCGAGCTCTGTGCTAGTGACGCCCCCGTTCTGCAGAAGCTAGAGGACAGCCTGGACCCAGCTAGGGCCCTGGAGATGCTGGCGGGGAAGACAAGAGCGGGAACGCTCAAGAGATATGTCGTGGTCTATCAACGATGGAGACTCTGGCTACAGGAGGCTAAGCTGCTACATCCTCCGGGTCGTCCGATAGACCTGGTGGACTATCTGCTAACCCGCCGGGACGAACCCTGCGGAAGGTCAGTCCCGGAGACGATAGTCAAAGCTGTTGCTTGGTTTGAAAAGGTTGCGGAGTTCCGCAACGATACGAGGACCACTGAGAGCCGGATAGTCTGGGCGACCAAGGATAGGATAGTCGAGGCCCTCTCGGAAGGGGCTCCGCTAGAGAGCACCTCGATATCCCACCTGGATCTTGGTGAAGATAGAGAGGCTCGTCCTTGATGAGAACGAGGTCGTTGGGATACGTGTTTACGCCTGGGCCAAGCTATTCAAATCCTGGGCATCTTTGAGATGGTCCGATATCCAGGCGATCAAGCCCATCGAGCTTCGGCTCGAGGAGGGCCGGCTATTCACGTCCGAACCGGAGGATAAAGGAGCTGCCGGTTTGTGTTAGCGAGGTGGCGTTCTATGAGGATGCCCGCTGGATATCAGTAGGATTCAACCTGCTAAGGAGAACGCCAGCTACAAGAGGGATTACCTCTTGCCCAGGTTGAGATCCGATATGGCAACAATGGACCGCAAGATGGCGAGCTATGCTGATGCCGTGGTGGCCACCGCTGCTGTCCTCGCTAGGATAGGCATCCCCACAGCGGTCCAAGGATATTGGACAGAGCACTCAGAGAGGTCGATATTGCCGACGGCCTTGGCGATTTTGGGTGTCACGGACTGATATCCTGGGGAGATGGAAGCCCGAAGGCTCGGATACCTATGTCCGATCCTACGGTGGAAGGGTAGCTAGATTGCAGTCCAGATATGCGGCAGCTGCCCGAGAGGATAGCCGCTACTCAGCGCTGGACGAGAGAGAGATAGCGGCCAACCTCCTGGATTGGCTGCAAGATAGGAGAAAGCTGGGCGAAGAAGCCTCCAAGGCTATCGTAGATCCCCTGGTCCACATGTGGAAGACGGGGCGGATATTCGCTGATCTGATTCCAGTGATCCCGGAAGTGGAGGACAACCTTCCGCATGAGAAGGGCGAGGACAGCGAAGATAGCCAGGGGCCCGAGCCTGCTAGTTCCTCTAAGGTTGCAAAGACTGTGGACCGTACGGCTAGGTATGTGATAGTGGAGCTGCCGGGAGCAATTTTTCGGCTACATCGAGCTGGTGCCAACGGTTGCTGGATGGGGAGAAAGAGGGAGTTTAAGAGCTCTCGAGATTTCTCCGATATGCCGGATAGAACGGAGTACACACATGTTTGCCGCCTCTGTTGGCCGGATGGCCAGTTTGGTAGCGATGATAACCCTACTAATGCCTCTCCAGCGGGGCTGGAGACGAACCTGAGATCCAGGATATGCCGGGAGACCCAGAATGGTCTCAGACGGAGTCCGTCTCTGGGCGCTGGGCGGGCTACGATGATAGCTGGCAGCCGATCGGCTCCGGATAGAGATGGCACAAAGCGTGGTGATAAGTCGAGTGCTTGATATTTTTCCCTTGTTTGGCTTGGCTTGATTTTCCTTGATTGCCTTGCTAACTTGATATGTATGTGGCTCACTTGGCACTCGGATACCGCGTTTTGAGAAGCATGCTTGAGAGGAGAGAGTCGGAGAGGGCGCCTCTTCTTTTTCTTTTCCGCCCGCAAAACCAGAGAAGGAGAGAATCGGAGAGGGCGCTACAGTGACATGTTCGGCTACGCTTGCGGTGTATTACTAAGCTACTCTGTCTTATTACAGGGCGCTGCTACCTAGCGAGTTAGCTATTCATGTCAGAGTGCTCGGAGTGCGCACGGTGTATTGTTATCAGGGCTATCTGCTACCTAGCAGGATGGCTACTCTGATAGAGCAGCAGAAAGCAGAACTACTTGAAAGTCTCTGTCTTGCTATGCTACTAGAACTGCTACCTAGCGTGATGGGATATCCGAAGCTTGGGGACCAAGCTTGAAAAAGAGTTGTGTGGTAGGATTGTGGGGCGCCCACCCCCGAAAGTGGGTGATCTGTTTTGATATCCGCTATGTCTGCTTCCGATAACACCAGTGTTATTGATGCTACAAGGACAATGCTAAGAGNNNNTAGAGTTGGCGCAGGTGTCAACGGCAGAGAAGCGCCATATGCAAGAGGCGGCGCAGCTAGCAGCAGAAGGGTCCAACAAGGTCCCAACTGCTAGTTCCAAGAGACAAGCTACACCGCCAAGACCGAGGCGGAGAGATGTGACACCGCCACCCAGTTTCTGGGCGGATGTGGTCGATACACCAGCAGAGCGGGAGAAAGAGCCGCAGTGGATGCTGGGTATGGCCAAGCACACCTTGGCCGAGCAGATGGCTAAGCTGAAAGAGAAACAGGATAGGGAGCGAGAGGAGCTCCAGGCTACAACAGAGAGACAGCTGATAGAGCGTTTCCGTCAGGAGACGCGCGCTGATACCCGCCAGGAGAGTGATGAGCTGCAGATGGGGGCTGGCCCGCTCTGGAGGCTAAGCGCCCCAACTTCCTGAGACCGAGGGGCGTACCCCCACGATAGGGTCGCAGCAGGACCCAGCTAGCTCGTCTACAACCGCTACAACAGCTAGGCGCGAGCCAACCCCCAACGGGGGCGTGGACGCGTGAGATAAGTGTGAGAAGGAGAGATAGAATCCCTCTGGGGATTCCAGAGAGATTCTCCCGAGATGATAAGGGGGGAGTTGATATGAGCTATCGTCGCTACCCGACGTCAGAGCTACCGCCTGGACACCGTCGAGGACGACCTGCTAAGGGGATAGGCAAGGGTATTCACTTGGAGAATATCCGAGATGACGCGCTAGTGGCTAACCCGGACTTCGGGAATGCGCTAATGCCGCTAGTGCCTGAGATCGGCTATGTGAGATGCCGCTCTGGCGAGATGACTGGGAGAGGCCGCTGGGACGCTAAAAACGAGATTGTGATATTGTGCCCAAAGTGCGAGGGCGATAGCTGTAATCAGCGGATGTGGACCGTGTTTGAGCAGCGCGGGTCCCACCGCTGTAAGACTTGCTACAGAGTGATATTTGATAGTTTGCTACCTGATAGCTATAAGCTAGCTATCTGTACAGTGCTCGAGATAGCCTAGGCCACGCTAGACGGTATCCGATAATCCCCCTTTCTGTCTAGGTGATTACATATTGATAGTGCCTTTTGTGGGGTGAGGATACAGTCTGGCTGAGGCCGCCACGGAGAGGTGGCGTGAAAAAGAGAGATGGCCGATAGCCTCTGCGCAGACATGCTTACTGGCTATTTTTAGACAGAGAGATAGTTGTCCGAGATGCACCGGATATACCGAAGTTTGTTTTCTGGAGACTCCGCTTCGAAAGCTAGAGGGAGAGAGAAGAAGAGAGAAGGGTCTTTGGGGTATCCAGACCCTTCCTCTCCAGCTAGTTCGTTAAATGGGGGTATCCAGACCCCCTCTCTCTTTCTCTCTGTCTCTTTTCTTCTCCAAAGATCTCGGATATGCGGATATACGGTCTATGGGGGTATCCAGACCCCTTCTCTTCATCTTTCAGCTATTCCGAGAATTTTGACTCAAGTTCGATTCAGAAGTGATTCAGGGGGAGTCCTCTGAGGGGGGACCCCCCATGGCGCTCTCTTTGGCGGAGAAGCTAGCTAAGGGGAACCATGGGGTCAAGGACGACCGCCAGGCTAAGCTTTACGATAGTGGAATCGATACGCTGCCAAGTTTGCTGCTTTTGTTACAACAGCTAGGGAGCTAGCCGATCTGCTAAAGGCTGAGTTCTCGTTGGACCCAGCCGAGTCACTGGATAAGAGAGCTCAAGTCGCTAGCTACACGGTAGCTTGGCAAGCCGCGCAGACCCGGGTTAAGGCCCAGGCGGATGCGGAGGAGCAACGAGGTCTCGGACTACATGGCTATGAGGCAGTCCTTCTCCAAGACCTTTGGGGAGCTGGAGGATAAATATATTCCTTCAAAGGAGTATATCGAGAAAAAGCTAAATGAGCTGGAGTCGGGAGAGTTCCGAGCGGAGCAGCTAAGTGAAGTGGTCGGCCGGGACGAGGTCGACCCTGATACCTTGCTACCGGCCTGGGATAGCAAGGGCCACATCACCGTGAAGAAGGCCTCCTCCACGGTCGCTATGCCCACCGGGCCCGAGCAGTTGAGACACAGGATAACTGTTATGTTCAACGCCCTTGCTATGATCAAGCTGCGCCATGTCAACAGGATAGAGCTATCCGACGTGACTTCGGATATCTTCGATAAATACAAGGATTATCTCCTTG